TTCAGAGCGGCGGCGTCGCAAAGCATGATTGGACGACACATCGACCACATGTTTCGCACTCCATTCGAGGGGCATGGGGGTTTTATGTCGAGAGGAAATCTCACCAACCGCAGATTTACATGGTATAATCAGAGAGGAGAGCACAGCTTCACTCTCTGTTTCTGCTGTGCTCTCGCCAGCCCGTTCACCTCCTGCTTTGTGCGGCGTATCTGCGGCCCGGCGCCCGGCCGAGGTCGCATGTGCCGCCGCATGGAGCCCCGCATGCAGTCCTCGGATGGGCTCGCTTTCCGGGCCGCAGCGGAAGACGCTCTGTGCATGACCCGTGCGCAGCCCCGGCTCTCCTCCCTCAGGACCGAGAAACCACTTCCTACCCCGGAGCACCGGCTATTCAAAAGTAAAGTGCAAGATTTATGCTGCTCTTGGGGTTTTTCTGCGTACTTAATCCTTAACGTCGCAAAGATTGCAGGGCCGTGATGTGTAAGATGCTCGCCCGCCGAGGCCCCCAGGCATTCAGCCCCACGTGCACGGGGACGGCGGCGGGGCACAGGTCAGCTCCCGGGTTGCCTCCGATACACTCTCTGTTTCCTTGTGTTTTGTTTCCATGGTGATCAGTTTACTATATCGAGCCCATGTTTGGTCATCAGTGTAAAGAATAAAAAAAAAAATAGGTTAGAATTCCCCTGTCAAATCCATTCTGTTGCTTTTCTAAGAGGAAAGGTCACACGTCCTGTTTCCACAGTGAACTTGAGCACCTCTAGATTATGACATTTAACATTTTAATCTCGCAGTTGGGTCCTCTTGAAGCTGGAGGTTGTGGTTAGATGCCTTTGCTATCCATTTTTGTCCCCTCGCCTCCAAAATGGGGCTGGGGGGGGGCGGGAGCAGAATCTGAGGGCCACCTTAACTGCCATGTGGCCGCCGGACAACAGCGGAGCAAGGAAGCCATTACTTAGGACGCTGACATGTGCAGCCACAGACTGGCACCTGCTGATTCACGCAGCCGAGGGGAGGAAGCCAGCTAACCGCCCCCTCCTTATCGGCAGTGCAGGGGGGGGGCAGGAGGAATCAGTGGGCTATCACAGGCAGACACACAGAGAGAACGAGTCCGGGGGGGGGTCTGGAATGCCAATTAATGCCGATATGTATCTCGCGCACCAACGGCGATCGCGTTCCCGTGGCACCCCCACCCCCACCAAGCGGCCGCTCGCTGGGGGAGTCTGCGGGGGTGGCAAGGAAGACAACAAGCGGTGACCCTGGGCAGGATGGGATCACACAGGGTTGCCTGGCGTCACTCCCGAGGAGCCCCCCGGGGGGGGGGGTTGCTTGCGGTAGCACCTGCGGACCAGCGCAGGCTAACGGCAAGGCACCCTGGCGAGAGGGGGGGAGGGGGGGCAGTGCTGAGGAGCCCCCACTGTCCTGCCGTTTGCTTCTGCTGGTATGAGTGAGTGAGCAAGCGATGACTGTCGGCTTGGTAAACAGCGTTAACCCGTTAACGCCACTGAATCTTCAATGTGCTGCTCAAGAAGCAGCTTCTCTAAAGTCCTATGACTACCAAGGGTGTTTTGGGACTGGAACCAGTAACCCTCTGGTTAGTCCATGTCATTTAATGGCATTTATGTCGTTTTGTGGGCAATATGGCAGGGGGCAAGTAGAGGTCCTGATGGATACTGGTGGGTGACTGGTTTCTGCAAGGCGCTGCTGGGAGGCTGTTTCAGCTCCACTGATGCTTGTGATGTTTGTCTCCCTGACAGAAGGAAGAAGGAAAGGTTCAGGGCCAGCTGAACAGCTCGGACTCCAACCAGTACATCCGCGAGCTGAAGGAGCAGATAGCGGAGCTGAAGCAGGAGGTGAGGCCGGGGAGGGGTCGGGGGGGT